AAATGTAACGCGTTTTACATATAGTTATTTGTTTATCGCTTCTTCAATTCTTTAAATCTGGGATTAAACCTTCCGCTATTTGCTCCCACATTCCTTTCTTACAAAACAGTTGACAGACACCGGCTAAAATTATTAAATTAAAATTTGACGTAGAAGTTTTATATTACAATGTCATCAAGTAATAGAGCTTCGCAAGACCAATGTTGGTCTTGTTAGCAGATTAAGATTGCATTATCTTGGCAAGACCAACACTTGACCAGCAAGACCAAGATCAGGACGGTGTTGGAAAAGTTGCAGTCTTGGAAGAAATAATGTCCCAAAATATTGACATCTATCGACCTTAGAGCCATATCATTAGCCGCTCTGACAATTGAAGCTTTAGCAAAAAGGTGTTAGCTCAGATTTTATAGTTTGGAGATGATTGGCTTCAAGGTTTAAATCCCGACACTTTTATTAAACTTTGTAGGACTGCTTTTATTATTGAAAGCTATTTTAGACGCATATGAAGGTAAACAATATTTTTAACTCTAATAGATCATGACGAATTGCTCAGAATTGTATGCAACCTAAAAAACACAAAAAGTTGTGGTGATGACAATATTCCAATTTTCATCATTAAGAAAATGATAACCATAATATCTGACCCTCTTCTTAATATCCTAAGTGCATCTCTTAGTGAAGGAGAATTCCCAAAAGCATTAAAAATGGAACTTGTATTACCAATCTATAAAAAAGGCGATCCTAATGATATGGACAACTACCATGCTATTAGCTTGCTGATAAATTTTTCAAAAATCTTTGAAATTGCTTATAACAACCGTCTTATCAATATTTTCCACTCAAACAAAGGCTTCACCAATAACCAACATGGCTTCCTGAAAGGTAGAGGTGTGGACACGGCACTGTTCGATTTCACCACAGCAATCCATGAATATCGAAAGAATCAGGGAGCAGCATGTGGTTTATTTGTGGACCTATCAAAAGCATTTGATTGCATTGATCATGAAATATTGCTAAACAAATTATATAAATATGGTATACGCGGGAATGCGTACTACTGGCTTAAATCTTATCTCTCTAATAGAAGACAGAAAGTAAATTTGAACAAAACTGGGAAACGAATAACATATAGTCCTGGTGTTCCTCAAGGCAGTACATTGGGCCCAACATTGTTTATTATTTATACTAATGATATATCCACCACCAAGAAAAACACGCAAAATCTAAGTTTCATCTATGCAGATGATATAACTATACTGATACCATATAAAGGAACGTCTGATATCCGAATCTTGATAGAGACCCAAACAAACCATATTCAAAACTGGCTGCAGATGAATAAGTTAGCAGTCACTATACAAAAAACGTATTGTGCAGTATTTCAGTCAAGCCATGCCCCCAAAGAACTACCCTTAATTAATGAACCTATATGTATCAAAAGCGATACAAACATCCTGGGTTGTCACATACGATAGCTGTCTTAAGTTTGATAAGCACATCGAGAGTATGGCTTCAAACCTCAGTCAAGCATGCTATGCACTACGAGTACTCACTTGTCACCTGCCCTTGCAAGCTGTGCAGGCTGCCTACTATGGGCTTACGTATTCTATTATGTCTTATCAAATAACAATTTGGGGTAATAGTCCCGCAGCAAATAGAATTTTTATCATACAAAATAGGATAATAAGAACAATGTTCAAAATGAAACCTAGAGAGTCATGTAGAAGTATATTTAAAGTCAAGCTCTTATTAACATTACCGGGAATTTATATCTATAACACTCTACTATTTATCTTTAGCCATAAAGAAAAGTTTGGAACAAACGTGTTCAACTACAGTTACAATACTTGCAAAAGTCAGAAATTCTTCTACCCATCACCGAAAAATGTCCACATTACTCTGCACTAAAACTTTACAGTGCTGTACCTCAACATCTTCAGTCCATTTCAGCATTGACTATATTCAAAAAAGCATTCATAAATATATATGCGATATGGAACCATATAGTATTGAAGAGTTCTGTGCTTTAGTGAAACCGTAAGCATTAATATCGCTGTTGTTATATGTTCTCTATGTATGTTTGTTTTTGTATGTACCTTAAAAAAAATTGTGTGTTATTCATACTGTATCACAATCACGTGTTATTTCTTTGTTTTTTATTTATAACTGAGAAACCAATAAATTTCTATTCTATTCTATCTCGAATAGACAGTTTTGTTAAAAAAATTGTTCTTATTATCAGAAATTTGAAAAGGATTGTTGAAAATCTGACTTAACACCTTACTAAAAAACTGTTATTTGCTTGGTCAGGAAAATGAAGATAGCAGAAAGGTATCAATGGTATTATTTAGTAAAAGTAAACATTGCTCTTTCTTCTTATTGCACACTCTCAAAAGTAATAACAAAGAATCCACACACCCTAACTAACCGTCTCCTCATCTTAAATTTTGTTAAAATTATCTAAAATTTGCTGGTATTAAAGGAATTTGTTCCTGAAAATTTTCTAACTTTCTGGCCCCAATACGCCTACTTCTGTCGACATTCAATGATAACACTGATCAACAGCCAAAACATATCCTAAATAAAATCAACAAAATATTACTATTTTTAATGTGCTAAAACCGGAATGAAACTTATTTTTTCAATATTAGTTCAAGTTTTAGAGATACGGTAATTATATGTGTTCCTGCTGTAACAGTGTTAATATACTGTAATTCACAAGAATGCACGTGCATTACAGACGATGTAATCGGCATGATTGTGTTACGTTATACATACATGTACATTATATTGTTTTATATTAGCCATTTTTTCTTCAGTTGGCTGACAGCGTTCATGCAAGATGTCTCGAAAGTGTTTTCAGATCAGTTTTGTTACGTGTGTGGTGATGTGACTTTTGCGTCTCAGAGACGGTCTATTACTCCACTAATAACAAAGGCATATCAGCTTTATTTCGGTTGTAAACTATGTGATCAAGACAAACAGTGGGCACCCCACATCTGCTGTAATACATGTGCTTCAAGTCTGAGGAGCTGGTTAAATGGCAAAAAACGGTCTATGCGCTTTGCTGTCCCAATGGTTTGGAGAGATCCTACAAATCATATTAATGATTGTTACTTTTGCATGGTACCTTGTGTTGGACAAGCCACAGGTATGACCAAGAAAAAAAAATCGGTTATTAACTACCCAAACATACCATCTGCGATGAGACCTGTGCCTCACAGTGACGAACATCATATTCCAAAACCCCCAGAATCCTACACTTGCGAATCAGAAAACGAATCAGATCATGGCGATCGAGTGATTCGTCAGGAAGAAGATATGCCATCAACGTCAAGAGATCCTGATTTTATACCGAGCACGTCATGCCACCAACCGCACAAAATAACACAGTCAGAATTAAATGATCTTGTAAGAGATTTAGAACTTCCAAAATGTAAGGCAGAGTTACTTGGATCAAGACTGCAGCAGTGGAACTTGTTAGAAGACGATGTTTCGGTATGTGTTTTTCGTAAACGCCACAAAGACTTAGAACCATTTTTCAATATGGAGAATAACTTGGTTTTCTGCAGTAACATTAACGGCTTACTGGCGGCTTTAAATATAAACTATAACCCAGAAGAATGGAGATTGTTTATAGACAGTTCAACATTGAGTTTAAAGGCAGTGTTATTGCATATTGGAAATATTTTACCATCTCTTTCTGTAGGGTTTGCAGTTCACATGAAAGAATCATATGACAATATGAAGTACCTATTGACATGCATAAAATACGATGAACACCAATGGCATATTTGTGGCGATTTGAAAGTTGTTGCACTTTAACTTGGGCTGCAGCTAGGCTACACAAAGTTTTGCTGTTTTTTGTGTGAATGGGACAGTCGGGCAAAGGCACTTCATTACACCAGACAAAACTGGCCTGTTCGTCAATTCCTAGAGCCAGGTCAAAAAAATGTACAGCATATGCCATTAGTAGATTCGAAAAAAAATTTATTACCACCACTGCATATCAAGTTGGGCCTAATGAAAAACTTTGTCAAGGCATTAGATAGAGATGGGTCAACTTTTCAATACCTGCGTCAGAAATTTCCAAGACTAAGTGAGGCAAAGGTTAAAGAAGGTATTTTTGTTGGGCCACAGATTCGAAATATTTTGAAAGATACTCAGTTTGAAAACACTTTAACAGGTATTGAAAAAACTGCTTGGAATGATTTCCGTCTGGTGGTCACTAATTTCTTGGGAAATAGAAAAGCTGACAACTATAAAACCCTTGTCAAAAATATGCTGTCATCGTATCAAAGATGGGCTGTAATATGTCTCTTAAGATACATTTCCTACACTCACACCTGGACTTTTTTCCTGACAATTGCGGAGCCGTAAGTGATGAGCACGGCGAACGTTTTCATCAGGATATTTCAACAATGGAAAAAAGGTACCAGGGAAAGTGGAATCCTTCCATGCTTGCAGACTACTGTTGGACTCTTGGTAGAGATGCTCCAGAAACGATCAATAAAATAACAGCAACAAGACAGCGCATATAGTGATTCTTATAAGTATATGAATCTTGTTACTTTTTTTAATATATCCTTAAAAATAAAAAGTTTTTTTTCTAAACCGCAACTAATTTTTTTATTACATTGTCATTATTGGATTCACCGCCCCAAAATTAACAAAGAAGTGCACTTTTCCCACAAGATACAATTAAAAAACTAAAATTTGTTGTCCAGTGTAATTGTTCATTTTCTACTTTTCTATCGAGACTTCGCTGTTTTCTTATATCGACAATAGTCCAATTTCCTGTTTCATTAAAAGAGTATCCGTACTTGGTTACACCAAATTTTTCAATCTTTAGCCATCTTACATCCCTGAATCAAAATTTCTCTTTAGTTGCAGTATTTGTTTCTGTCGACCAGTCAAAGTTTTCTTGGGCGTCCTTTAATATCAACAAATTTGCTAGCCATTCTTGTAATATTAAAAGGTGGTTTTTCCTGGCTTCTGCCATGATTGAAATATATTGGTCCAACGTATGAATGAGCTTTCTGATAGACTCAACTTTTTTTTCGAACACTTCAGATATTATTAGGTAGTGCAATAGACATAGATAGACAGTAAAAAAAATTATTTTGTCCACCTGCCGAATCACTCTATGCAATCAGATGATAGGAAGCCATGCCTTGTCCTTGATGTTTTCCAAAGAGGCCATAAGTGAGCTGCCAATCTCTTCAGGACCGCGATTTCCTAAGTCTTCGGTCCAAACGTGGAAAAAACCTTTACCATTTGGTTACTGTGTGGATATCAAATGTATTCCTGGATTGCCGAGCCATACTTGTCAAAATAGAAGGCTCTACTTGCAGAAATTTTCGGCAAGGGAAGCGTTTCTTGTAAATCATATGTGAGGCATATGATTCTTTTCCTTTGGTGTTGCGTGATCAGATTTTTGTAGGTCAAAAGCTTTTGTATACCTTGCAAACTGTTCCTCGTTCGATCCTACATCGCAAACAGTACAAGTATCGGTCTTTAGAGAACCAAATCCAAAGTTGGAATCGTTGACAAATATTAATAACTCTTGTTGTCAAACTATATTCACCTGTGTAAAAATCAATTATGGCATCTATAAGGAAAAATGAAGTTAAGGCTGAGACTGAACGTCTTATTAAGATTATATACTAAGTGACATATAAATCCGAACACCCAGTTTAAATGGTTTTATTTTAATAAAAGTTGGTGAATGTATTTATCTTACTGTAAATAACAAGTGAACAAATTTTCAGCCTTATCAGTTGGACATTCCGGTTTTTATACTGTTTTTTTTTAATTCACTAACGCTCCAAAAATAAATATTTCAGCCGTACCTAGAGTACGGAGACCTGTACGATTTCGTCAACTTAGTGAGTTTGATAGGGGCCGTATAGTGGGACTTCGGAAAGCTGGACTTTCTTTTCGGGCAATTGCAGTTAGAGTGCAAAGAAGTGTAGACACTGTGGTTAGGTGTTGTCAGGCATGGCTTCGAGAAGGCCGTACGCAAAGAGCAAGGGGCACTGGACGCCGCCGTAGAACAACAGACCGTGAAGATCGCCGCCTAAGATTATTGGCCTTAAGGGACCGTTTCTCCACTACCAGGTCCATTGCAAATGAATGGTTTGCAGAAGACGGAAGACCTATTGGCATGCGAAGTGTTTACCGACGAATGAGAAGTTTTGGCTTGTTTTCATACCGGCCACACTGGGTGCTCCCTTTAACTCGAGAACAGCGACGTAATCGCCTTGAGTGGTGCAGACAACGGTCACTCTGGGATCAGGAATGGAACAGTATTGTCTTTAGTGACGAGTCTCGATTTTGTTTAGGCATGCACGATGGTCGTGCCAGGGTTAGAAGGCGACATGGTGAAAGGAGGAATTCACAGTTTTTTGTTGAAAGACATGTTCAACACACTGTTGGAGTTATGGTTTGGGGTGCTATAGCTTATGGTTCCAGGTCACCTTTAATCTTCATCAGAGGTAGCATGAACGCGCACCGTTATGTCCACGAAGTTCTAGAACCCCATCTTTTACCCTATCTTGACACCCTAGCAGATCCAACTTTCCAACAAGATAAAGCCCGACCATATGTTGCAAGAGTCACAATAGACTTCTTTCAACATAATGATGTCACATTGTTACCATGGCCACCAAGATCTCCCGACTTATCCCCAATTTATCCCCAATTGAGCATGTGTGGGATATGATGGGTAGGAGATTGCTCAATTTGCAACGTCCTCCTCAGATTCTAGAAGCACTTCGATAGGAGTTGGTGGTTGCCTGGAATGAGATACCACAGGAGGACATTGACCACCTGATCAGAAGCATGCCTAGGCGCGTTGGAGAATGCGTAGCACATCAGGGTGCATCCACACATTATCAAAGGTCAAAGGGCTTTAAAGCAGTGCAATCATTTTGAAATTTTCATCATTTACTTATTATGCTTCATTAAGTACTTATATAAAATTTTATTAAAATAAAACCATTTAAACTGGGTGTTCGGATTTATATGTCACTTAGTATAATTATATATAATGCTATCCTTTAGAGGAGAAAATGTAGCAATGTTGATGTCATTTATTTTGAAATCCCAATAGAAATAAAGTCAGGAAAAAATCAAAACGATTTTGGGAAATTTCTTCTCCGGAAGTATTTTGAGCTTCGAAAGTTTCTGCGTGGCATTTTGTTAGTTACCTAAATACGCTACTTTTCCCAGTGATGAGGTTCGAATTTGAAAAACCCGGTATAAGCGTGATTCATACTGAATTTTGTCTTTCAGAACACGAGTAAGATCCGACAGCGCTGGGATCTCAGACTAAACCGTGGACTATTTAATTAGCTTAAGTCAGCCACTGGTTTTGGAAGAGCGGCCATAAAAACGTGGATCAAATTAAGTTCTCGGTAGAACAGAGCTGTTTATCAGTCGACAAGACCTAAAGCGTCTGTTGCAGGAAAAGCGATCACTGCAAAGCAGATTCGTGTAATTTCCGGACGCTAAGCAAAAATAGCGGCGGAACAAACCATTATGTATTCTTTTGAGATACCCTTCCATTCTCTGGGTGGATAAATTGGTCTGAGGAATGGATAGGGACTGCCTGTTAATATGCCTGTATCGCATAAAAGAAATTGTGCCGTCCCGGATAAGTGTACTCATGTTCCTTTGTTTTCTACGTGGATAGGTGGATAAGTACTTGTAGGTAATCGCGGAAAATTGCGAGTTCACCATACTATGCTTTCTTGATGGATCATATACAGGGTAACTTGATTTATGGCTAAAAATACAGGACACGATTCTTTAGCTGATTTTGTGAAGAGAGGTCTTTATGAACATATGTCCTAAAACTCTTAACTTTTGAGCTACACGGTGTCAAAATTTTAAGAAAAAAATCGTTTTCTTATCATAAGTTTAATACTGTTCTAGATATTTTCAATAAACTTGACGTGCATCTACTAAGTATTAGTAAGCATTTTTTGATGTAGAATGTTTTTTAATAGTCCTATCAGTGACGGGATGTATACTGGAGATTTTTCAAAAAAAAAATATGGTACGCCATTGCATTTTGAAAAAAAAGTATTATTGAAATCCTCATTTATTCATTATGCAATATACATTCGGCCTCTTGACTTTTTTCGTCCAATGCAATATGTTCGCCTGAAAAACAACCGCTTTCATGCATTTGCCGTATAACGAAATTATTTTCAACAGTAGCATATTTTGCTTTGACAGTAATGACATTTGATCGATTGCGTTGCGGTCTTACTTTGACAAGCATTCATAAAAGTAATAGTTTTTTGCATTGTGAAAGTTTCTTTAGCCAATAATAAAGAGAAAGACTTACAAATTTCGAGATAGCAGATATGCATTTTAACTACGGACTTGTTGACGGGAATGCGCTTATGGTTAGGGGGATATCCAAATAATAATAAAAATAGTAATAACGATAGCGTTTATTTGCAGAGCCAAAAAATACAAATTAATAATAAATTAATAATAATTATAAACGCCAGAAAAATATGTATATAAAGAAATTATATAAAAATATAATTTAACGAAAAAGGTCAAATCATTTTAGGCAGACTTAACAAAAAAAAAACATTTAAAATATAAAAAGGAAAGGAACAATATAAAGTAAACACTACAATTCATCTAATAGAAATTTTCTGCAACTTCTTTAAAAAGCTGACACAGACACAGACTTAAGGTTTGTGGGAACGTGATTGTACAAGTGGTAGATAAAGTGAGAAAAACATCTGGTAAACATAGATGTACGATGACGTGTTTGGGAAATCAGCTTCCGATACCGAACATTGATATTGTGAACATCACTTCGAAATGTAATCTTATTATATAAATAAGGTGGAGTTTTAGAATAATTTTATGAAACAAAACTGTAAAGTGCAGATTTCTCCTAGCTTCCATATTTAGCCATCCTATTACAGGTAACTTATAAGAAATATGTTCAAATTTTTTCACTTCAAAAATAAACCTAAGACAAGAGTTTTGGTCACGCTGTATACGATCAACATCATACCTTGTTATACAAGGCCCGTTAACTGAGTCGCAGTAATTGAATAATGACAGAACAAGCGTGTCACAAAGCAAAGCCTTAAGTTCGGTAGAAAAGATATGATGCCATAAATAAAATAATATAAAATTTACAAATGCCAGCTCCTAAATTTGACTCATCTAGTTCTTTATTTAAGAACACCGTAACCAAATTCATAAACAGAGGAAACATGCTTGGCATTAACATTAGATATACAGGGTGTAAAGTTAGATGTGGGATAGCCTAAAAACATATCGAATGAATCCCTTTATGTGTGGTCCAAGATTTTGTAGTTCAGGAGGTAGTTGCAATTTTGTGGAATTTCGAAAAAAAAACGGATAATGAACTTTAAATCGCAATTACAACTAAACCATTATTCTTAGGGCTTTGATTTTTTTTTGAGATGAGCTGAATGGTTAGTTTTAGCAACGGTTATGTCACTTTTTAACAGAGCTAATTAGAAATTAACGCAAAAAATCTGAAGTTCATTTTTTGTGAAAAGTCTCTTCCATTTTATTGTAAAAACTATTCCAATCCATGTAGAATGAACCCTGAAAATTTCAGCTTCTGATTGTTTGACGCAGGTGGGTATCTATACATGTAAACAAAAAATTATATTTTACGAGCTACAGTCCAAAGGACTTGATGGATTTTGACATATTATGAGGTACTGTTAGATTCGTCCTAGCAGTGTGAGTGATACTGTGTGAATTAGCATTTTAGAAAATCAAAATGGCATTCCAGGTGCGGGAGCGTTCCATCTAAGCGGATTTTTCTTTTGCAGCTGAGTTAATAGTGGCTTTTCTTTGGCCTATAAACAAGTTGTGCAACTTTAGGGTTTTTACTTCACTTTTTTTATAAGAAAACATACCTTGCAAGTGCTAAATCCCAGTTTGTGGGCCTCTCTATGAGTTGTGGACCTCGAAATTCTCTTTCCAACAGCGTCTCTCCACAGAGCACTTAATTGTAAATAATTGGCACGCCTGTTCTTTACGATTATTCTTCTTAATGCTCTTCGGTCGGCATTTGTGATATTACTTTTTTTCACATATCGTGGCTTAATATTAACTGAACCAGTTACGTTATATCTTCTAACAATATTTCTCACATTGTACCGCGATCAGTCTACCAAAGTTGCAATTTCTGAGTTTGATTTCCCCGAATAAAAAAATTTAATTATCAGTAACCGAATTTTCTCACCAATAACCTTTCCTCTACCCATTTTGAAGACCTTAACTACCCAAAACTATTTAAAAAGTATTCTGACAACTGTTATTAATAAAAACTATTGTCATGGCTTTTATTTTTCACAGCCACCTATACGTTATAGACTTATTTTGCATTGAAATGAAAATAGGTTGATATGCTGTAATTGCAACATGTGTTATTTTTATGCCTTCAAATTTGATTAGGGAGTGATAACGTTGGTGTTTTCTACTATATATTATCAAAATATTCATTGTTAATATTTTAAACCTATAACACCTCGCTACATTTTTATTATTTGTGTTTGATAAGAAGAAAACTAAGATTTCAACAGTTGGGCCAACTGAAGTGGGAAGGGGCTCGTATATAGATACTTTTTATGGATTTTTATGAACTTTCAAAGTTGTGTTGATGAGACTCGAACTATTGTCAAAGCATGCCCTTGACTCCATCTAAGAAATTTCGTCCTAACCTTCAAAAATAAATCAGCATCTCAATATCCCCAAAACGCGAAATATTCTTCAGGAAGACCAACGGACAAGTCTAAGGATTGGCCTCTAAATGTTTGCTCTATGTGTAGTGAACATTCAGTATACTATAAGTATATAGAGATCCTTGACTCCTAGGTTAAATAGTCTTCCTCTGATTGAATTGCGTAGGAAATTAAGCAAGAAAGCTCAATCTTTTCTGATTCATTCAGCGTGTATAACGATCATTCACATATAGGAGGGAAAATCTGTCATCATTAGTCGTAACAGGGCAATCACATGAGCGAACAAGCACAATTAGTCAAAGATGACCGGAATTTTGTGTGTGTGGAGACACATAGCATGTCGGACAGCAATTTATTTTGTGACGTTGGATTAGGGAAGAAGGACAAGCCAAAAGGCGGATCATGGGCGTTTCGAATTCACTTTGTTTTTATTCGCAGCCTGAACAATTTGACGGTTTTTTCGTGCAGTGTTTCATTTTGGTTTTTCGTTTCTTCACAAGTGTTTTAATACTGAGCATACTCAACACTATTATGCTTCTGCTGTAAAATCGTCAATATATATATATATATAGAAAATGAACATGCGGAGAAAGGTATATAACAAAAAATAGGAGACTAATGGGCAAATTCCCAAAAAGAAGGATAGTGGATTCAAGCAGAAAATAGGATAGGTAACCCGAGCGATACGTATTTCTGCTGGTTGGCTTCATCAGGCCCGGAATGAATGCACATATGTTACTACAGAAGTAGATACACATGCCCAAACATCCGGATACGGGTGTAACCTGAGGAAACGAAGATCGAGAGGTAAAAAATCACACACGAAGTCCACAACATTGTATATATACAGGGTGACTTCGAAGTTGAGTCATTTATTTTAACAGTGAGTAGATCTGATTAAAAGAAATGTTTTTTTCCTTTAACATTTTTCTGGTGAAATTAAAGTAACAAAGTTATAGCCCTTTGCAAGTTTGAGTACCGCCCTGTCTCAATAATGATATCATGTGCTCGTGTTTGGCAACAACGGATATAATCCGCCTTACCGGTTCATCGCATCGGAAACAAAAAAGCGAAAGAATTTGGAACGATGCTTTTACAATAAATTATTTTATTCAGTTCAGTTATACATACAGTCAGTGTCAGTCGGTTAGCGTGTGAATAGTGTCTGTTGCGTGGCTCAAACGAAATAAAAAATGGCACATGTTTATGCGGATCGGTTTCCCAATCGAGTGCAACCAACCCCTCGTGCCTTTGTTAATGTAGTACAACGGACTCGTGAATCAGGTGACTTAAGACCTCACAGAGAACCTCACGATCAAATACAGGTCCGCACTGAAATACTTGTCGAGAGGATACTTTATAAAACAAGGTAAACATTTTTTTTTATTTTTTTTTATTTTTACACACATATTCTGGTTTATCTTCCTTCTACAATCATTATCTGAAAATTAATGACTCAACTTCAAAGTCACCCTGTATATATAGGTATAGGATATATAGGTTATTAGGATAGGTGAAATCTCAAACGGTTTTTTAGTAGTTGGTAGATTTTCAAGTTCTTCCAAATCAATCACTGTTTAAAACTTTAATAAAACCATAGCTATGGTTTGACATTTATTAATAACATAATATCCTAATCGAACCTAATCGGTCCAGTTTTTCTGTTCGTCGACTATGTGATCCCTTTCACTGTCGTTTAAGAACAATTACAGCAACAATCTCTTACTCCAGACGATGATGGCATAGACCATCAAAAGCTCGAGTTCAAGTTATTAGAGTGTACTTATGCAAAAATTTACCCTTCTACCCCAGAAATTCAAGGTTGTATATATATATATATATACATGGTGTTAATAAAGTATGTAGACTAACTTTAACCAGCGAATCCTTGGTCAATTTGAAGACGAAATTTTCATATGAACATGGGTCCGCAATGGCTTTGTTTCCAAGCTAGAGCATATTAGCATAAGGCATGGAGGACCTGAGTTAGAATTGTCGAGCCATGTTTTTGTCGTTCTATTCGAATGTTACTGTTCAAAACTATTGACCTTCTGAATAAATTCTTTTTTCAAAAATACAGGATAATACTATTTTCATCCACGTTCATATTGAGCCTCAGCAACTTGTAGAACATGCAAATTTATCCTAGTTTATACCTACTGTGCAATAAACACGTTTCATTATTCATAGAAATATTTGGAATATTACTCGTATTTCTTTAGTGATGTTCATAAGAACATTTAGTCTTCAAATTGATCAAAGGATTCGATGGTTAAAGTTTGTCTCCATACTTTGCTAGCACCCTGTATATTGTATATACCTGAAACTGAAATATCACTACTTACTCAGGTGTGAAATTCATCCAGTGTTAATACGATGGAGAGATCCCAAAATGTCAGAATATTTGGGCTGAAGGAAGAGGAAGGAGAAGATTTTGGGTAATGTTATAGTGGATCTGTTTCAAAACAAACTAAAAGTAAACATACAAGAACAAGATATAGTCAAATACCATCGCATATCAAACAAAAACTCAAATAACAGTACGTTGGCCGTGCTGGTACGGTTCACCTCTAGCGATTCACGGGCATCGGTTTTTAAAAATCGAAAACTGTTGAAAAACACCGGAATTCGTATAAAAGAGCATCCGACTAAATCGCGACTGAAGTTATTTAAAAGATGTATTGATTTGTTTACGAAAAGCAATGCGTTGATTCTAAGAGAAAATATTTACGTAAAACAAAACAATGAAGTTCATCGAATCGCCAGTGATGAGGACCTACACAAAATTAATGTTTAAGAGGTTTTTTTGTAAGGTTTGCAATAAACAATGCGGTGTGGTGAGGTGTGTGGGGGGACGGGTGCTACAGCATTCTAATATGAAGGTAACATTACTATAGGTGTTTTCAAAGTAGACAGTGTCAGACGTTTTTTCTAGCCGTAAAAACTGTATCAGTATTAACTGCTTTGGATGTGGCTTAATCCGTACTCCTCTTTTCGCCTATTATTATTTTTCTTCTTACACTTTTAGGTTGAACAAATAAGAAATAATTGTTTAATAATTATTAATACGAATCACAATGTTGTTATGCAATAATTTTAAACGAATTTATTAGACCATACACATATACTTTGTCAATTTACAGTAATTTTATGGACACTAAATAAAATAAAAATGTCTAGTTTCTAAACACATGTCAAGAATAATTAAATTAAGAGAATAAATAATGAATTTCTGTTTTCCTTGTATATTCGTTGCTCTTTGGAAAACCCTCAAAAGAGGTGGCAGCGGTTTCAGTTTTTATTTTTCGCAGCAATTTATGGACTTCGTTTTGTTAATTTTTAGGAAAAACATAAATTGTGTCTCTGGACCTGCTAATGCCACAGATAGCGCAATATATTCAATATGTATACTGAAGGCAGCGTTAATTTCTTCAAAGCTGTGAATAGTTCCCTGCAACTATATTTGAAATAGTTCTAAGAGTTCTTTTGGTATTATAAAAAAGCCTTCGTAACTTGGAGGATGCTCCTTATGCTTCTATTCCATAAGGAATGGATATACTGGGTGTAAACGTTATGGTAGTCATTATTGAAATGGGTAATAGAAGGGGTCAAAACAAGTCAAAAAATTCATATGACCCATGGTCCAAAAGTCAATAGATTTTTGTCTAAATGGCTTTATAGTCTACAACTTTGAGTGCTTTATATCGACCACAATCACCACGATCTAACTAATTTTTATAATCTAATCTGAAACGTTTTTAAATTGGGTAATTAACAAATAAATGGCATTAAGTTTTTCTAAGGTAAGCCAAACTTTGTAGTCAGTAAGTTTCATTAAATTAAATATGACAGATGACAACAGCGCGTCAGTCTTTCATCACTCTTATCGAACCGGCAATCGATCGCAAACGGTAACAGTTATCGTTTTGCATTGATAAATTACTTTATCGTTTTGTCGAGCAGAGCATCGGGCGTGTTGTTTTGTTTTGTTCGCGTACGTCGTCGTGTTTATTTACAATGTTCTCGAATCAAGAGTTCGCCAACATGTTGTTAGTTTACGGTGAGCTCGTCAGAATTATAATCGCCAACGGATACACCCAGACAGAAAGACATTTGTGCAAGTGTACCAAAGACTTCGAGATACAGGAAGTGTTCAGTCCACTAATATTCGCACTCGTGAAAGAGGTTATTGTAGAGCAGGAGGAACAAATTTTAAGTATCGTGGAAATCAATGCAGACATCAGCACTCGGGAATTAGGCCTATCGCATACCATAGTCCATAGAATACTACGGGAAAATTTGCTTTATCCCTACCATGTACAACGGGTGCAGACCTTGTTACCAGAAGACTATCCTCGCAGACTAACATTCTATCAGTGGTTTTTGCACAAAAACATTGGAAATACGGATTTTTTCAAAAACACTCTAGCGACGGACGAATGTACTTTTACGCGAGACGGGATATTAAATTTCCATAATACTCACACGTGGGCCCAAGAAAAATCCTCATACCATTCGTGAAGGTAATTTCCAACAACGTTTTAAAATAAATATTTGGGCGGGTATTCTTGACGATCAGGTAATTGTCCCTTTCGAGGTACGCCAAAAGTTGTCAGGAGAAGGATACCTTAGCTTTCTAGCCAATAACCTACCAGAACTTTTGGAACAGGCCTTAGACAACATGCCATTACAACAGAGACAGAATTTGTGGTTTCTTCATGACGGGGGATCACCACGCATTTTTAGAGGCGTCATCCAGTATTTGAATGAACACTATCCAAATCGCTGGATCGGTCGAAATGCTCCTGATCCTCGAAAATGGCTAGCCAGATCTCCTGACCTCAATCTGATGGATTTCTGGTATTGGGGAGAACTTAAAGGGATGGTTTATGGGGCTGGTCCAATGACAACTGAAGCACAACTGCGCGAAAAAGTGTTTAATGCGGCTGAAATAATAAATGGACAACTTCGAGGACCTAGAGTAAGAAGAAACTGGATTCGTCGTAATGAAGCTTGTATGAAAAGTGGAGGACGACATTTTGAACACTTTCTTTAAATAGAAAAAAGTGCAATGTAGGATTTAAAAAGAAAAACAGTGTATGTATCAAAATTTTTGATTTATAAGTGGATTTTTTTAATACTTTCAATAAACTTTCACACACCAGGTGAAGCGCTGAGACAGTTAGTGGTAAGTACCGTTTTTTTTAATTGTTTGCATTTTACGATTACATTCTCAAATAATGGAATAATACCTAAGAGCCAAAGATAACAAACTCTATCTTTATTTACACTGCGTTCTGTCGTAATTTGCGTCTGGCATTGCGGCGTTGTCAGATTTAATTTTACTTTAAAGTCGCTTTTCTCTACAAAAATGCCATTTTGACCCCCATATTATATGGAACTTTTTGCTTCTTTTAACCTCCTCTATCACCCATTTAAATAATGACTATCATAACGTTTATACCCTGTATGCATCAACAATATCCGCTTATGAACGATTAGTCTAAAAAACACCTTTTTGTTGAGGTACATTTTGCGAGTAAGCTAGTGTCAGCTGCTTAACATAAGTCCGCCTTCCAGTGGTGTCTAATCGCCATGTGATAGCAAAAACTCAATTTCAGCCAAGTACAATTCGCCTACGTCATCAGAACTATTTTCAGAGACGCCAATGGCGAACTGCGCCATATTGTTTCTGTTACCTGTCCAGTAAACCTTTATTTTCCGGAAACGTTTCTGCTAGATTACCGCCCGTCATTCTTTTGTCTTCTTTGGAATTCGTTGCCAGACGAGGCACAATGCTCTGCGCAGAGTTACATGTGTGAAGGTTATATCTGAGATTGCAGAGCGTAGGAGGATCGACAGATAGACGTACTATAACTCTGTTCAACTCGATGCACATTTTATTAGCGATGCTATGAAGCGTTTGAGTTTTCTCACACCAATGACAATGAAGTATATCAAAAGTTGGTTTCAGTGAAATCAATACCCATTGATGCCAACGGTCGCACACAGCCCAAAAAACAAGGCAGTATTTAACGGAAGAAAACGTGGAATTATTGGACCATCCTCCATATAGTCCCGATCTAAGTCCTAACGATTTCTTTACTTTCCCGAAAATTAAAAACAGAATGCGTGGTCAAAGGTTCCAGTCACCAGAAGAAGCAGTTGACGCATTCAAAAATACCGTTTTGGATCTGCCAGCAAACGACTGGAGTAAGTGCTTCGAGAATTGGTTCGAGCGCATGCAGATATTTATTAATCTTCGTGGAGAATACTTCGAAAACAATAACGTCATTTAAAACTACCTACCGTGTTGTTTTATTTCCATAAGCAAAACTTAAAAGACATCCCTCGTATTAGTATCAGCATGCTGATGTAAAGCTGTCCTATAGTTTTACCATATAACATGCATATTTTTAATTATTGTCTAAACTTCAATGTAATAACCAAAATTTCGAAGCTTGCACAAGTAATTCCTATGTCAAAAAAGCAGGGACCGTCATCAGCATCCTACGTACTATGTCAAAGGTCTTCAAGATGATTTTGGATGCTAGAATGAGGGACTTTGTTGCTAAAATGCCACTCATCCGGAAAAACAATCAGGGTCCAGATCGGATCAGAGCTGCACAACGGCCTTGCTCAAGGTATCAGATGATATCCCCAAATACATTTACGATTGGAAACTTATGCCTCTTATTATACTAAGTGACATATAAATCCGAACACCCAGTTTAAATGGTTTTATTTTAATAAAATTTTGTATAAGTACTTAATGAAGCATAATAAGTAAATGATAAAAATTTCAAAATGATTGCACTGCTTTAAAGCCCTTTGACCTTTAATAATGTGTGGATGCACCCTGATGTGCTACGCATTCTCCAACGCGCCTAGGCATGCTTCTGATCAGGTGGTCAATGTCCTCTTGTGGTATCTCATTCCAGGCAACCACCAACTCCTCTCGAAGTGCTTCTAGAGTCTGAGGAGGACGTTGCAAATTGAGCAATCTTCTACCCATCATATCCCACACGTGCTCAATTGGGGATAAGTCGGGAGATCTTGGTGGCCATGGTAACAATGTTACATCATTATGTTGAAAGAAGTCTATTGTGACTCTTGCAACATGTGGTCGGGCATTATCTTGTTGGAAAGTTGGATCTGCCAGGGTGTCAAGATAGGGTAAAAGATGGGGTTCTAGAACTTCGTGGATATAACGCTGCGCGTTCATGTTACCTCTGATGAAGATTAAAGGTGACCTGGAACCATAAGCTATAGCACCCCAAACCATAACTCCAACAGTGTGATGAACATGTCTTTCAACAAAAAACTGTGGATTCCTCCTTTCACCACGTCGCATTCTAACCCTGGCACGACCATCGTGCATGCCTAAACAAAATCGAGACTCGTCACTAAAGACAGTACTGTTCCATTCCTGATCCCAGAGTGACCGTTGTCTTCACCACTCAAGGCGATTACGTCGGTGTTCTCGAGTTAAAGGGAGGACCCAGTGTGGCCGGTATGAAAACAAGCCAAAACTTCTCATTCGTCGGTAAACACTTCGCATGCCAATAGGTCTTCCGTGTTCTGCAAACCATTCATTTGCAATGGACCTGGTAGTGGAGAAATGGTCCCTTAAGGCCAATAATCTTAGGCGGCGATCTTCATCCATACATCCATAAAGTTGAATATTTTTCGTTGTTCGGGAACTGAAGAAACATCCACACTATATTCACAGCGATTAAGAAATTCCCAAATATATGCCTTGAAGCTACCAGCAAACCTACAGCACCGTCGACTGATATTCCCACCTAACCGTTCAGGATGTTTAATATCCATACATCAAAAGTCAAATATTTTTTGGTTGTTCAGGAACTGAACAAACATTCACACTATATTTACAGCGATTAAGAAATACTCTAATATATGTCGTAAAGCTACCGCCAAACTTAAAACCTGCAAAAAAATAGAATTTGCAATAACTTTCTTGTTTCACTGAGTACACATTCTAGTGGAGAAATGGTCCCTTAAGGCCAATAATCTTAGGCGGCGATCTTCACGGTCTGTTGTTCTACGGCGGCGTCCAGTGCCCCTTGCTCTTTGCGTACGGCCTTCTCGAAGCCATGCCTGACAACACCTAACCACAGTGTCTACACTTCTTTGCACTCTAACTGCAATTGCCCGAAAAGAAAGTCCAGCTTCCCGAAGTCCCACTATATGGCCCCTATCAAACTCACTAAGTTGACGAAATCGTACAGGTCTCCGTACTCTAGGCATCGTAACCGATCGTAAAGGATGTCAAGAACCAAAATCCGCCAACGTTGATTCTTTACTGCGGCTGAAATATTCATTTTTAGAGCATTAGTGAATTAAAAAAAAGCAGTATAAAAACCGGAATGTCCAACTGATAAGGCTGAAAATGTTTTCACTTGTCATTTACAGTAAGATAAATACATTCACCAACTTTTATTAAAATAAAACCATTTAAACTGGGTGTTCGGATTTATATGTCAGTATATTAACAATTTCTCGATGGGTTTTGATAAACTAGGCCAAACATACTATTGCTTAGTGAGCACTGGATGACTAAGGAACAGATCCGTGTAACCGGCGTCTCAAGTATGAATCTTGAGGACAAGTTTTTGTAGAAAAGGATCCAATACATGGTGGTGTTTCCATATATTGCCTATCAAATCTGCTATGTAAACCAGTCAACCTGCTTCAAAACGTAGTCAAAGAAAATGTCTGTGGAAGTGCGTGCGTGTGTGTAACAGTCGGCATTGAAAAAATTGCGGTTTTAGCATTTTATCGATCTCCTAACGGCAGTGTATATACGTTTGTAAATATTTTTTACTCTGTGCTATGTAGCGTGTCACAAGGTTCAGATAGCTCAGATCAGCATAGTTAATATACCGCCTATGCTAAGTAAGCCCGTCTATGTTCAAAGTAATTTGCAGAATCTTAGATTATTCCTGTCTATGGCGGATATGAGCTCACTTTGTTTCATCGGAAAAGTCAACTTTGCTTGGGATCATTTTCATATATTGCCTAGACAAAGCTTGTCCCTTAACCAAAACTAAGTTGAACTATACTGACTATAATAGGGATTGGTTGACGCCAGTATTGTATCTGAAAGCAATTCTTTGAAAGGCCTATTTTAGTTATCAAGAAACATAAATAGTCTGCACCACCTTGCTAGCAAATGTCGCTAGTAAATCATTAATAAATAAAATGAGTAGCAAAGGACATAAGTCCGAGCCTTGCGGAACTCCAGACGTAACTAATGTGGTGGCTGACTTGATTCCATGATATGGAACAAACGGGAGCCTATCCGACAGGTGTGAATTATAAAGATCTATAAGCTTATCAGAAAAAACAAAGCTAGATAGCTTTCACAATAGCTTTTTATGAGAGACTTTGTCACATGCTTTCGAGAAGTCGGTGTAGATAACATCTACCTGCCCCAGTTCATCCAACACTTCCGAGATGAATTGTACATTAAGAAACATATTGGTGACTGTAGATCGCTTATCTATAAAACCATGTTGGTTCGTTGAAATGTAATTTCTAACAGGTGGTTGAGTTCTATTGTAAAGGATAATCTCAAAAACCTGTTTTAAGCGATAAGGACAACAGAACAGTCCCTGACCAAGAATATTGATAACTGGAAGGTCGGCTTCAGTATTATCACTAAATGCATCATTTCAGTCTGTCGTGTAAGCCTGCTGAAAAAACATTTTGAAGGCGTTCATAATATCATTAGGATCAGACAGTTTTTCTCCATCAAAGAACATCTCCCCAGGAATTCTAGTGTTTCTAGTCTTGGTATGAATATACCTATGACCGGAATCTATCTGAGTTATTCAAAATATCTAGCTGAATAAGCTCCAAGTACTCATCATGCTGATTTAATTAGACTTTTTACTAACTCACGTAATCTTCTGAATTCTATTGAATAAAATTCGTATCTAGTTTATTTATATTTACTATGATATTTAGCGTTTAATTTTATGTTTGTTATATTTTGTAACAAACCTTCCATTACATTTATTATTGCTTTCGAGACGTTACTTTATAAATTTGCTCGACAAAGCGTGTTTAACATGCAGAAACTTAATTTTCGTTGCATCATCCCGGCGTATTTTTATACGTAGCTCTTAAATACATATTCATGTCAAAAATCTGCTGCGTATGTTTGAAAACTACGTGCTATGTAAATTTCTATTAATATGGATGCGCCTCGGGCAAGTTTCCTACGGATATCCCTCATCATGCGAGAAAGCAGCTTTTCAGCTTGCCTTTTCGTCTCTGTTTTCTCAGCCATAGTACAGGCCATGTGATTACTGGGCAGTATGTTACCACTAATACCATTATTATCACAAGGAGTGAATCAGCGTGATGATAAAAATGTATATAGTTATAGTAAATCTTATGAATTGATAAAAATATATATTTGAACAGGTTGGACCAGTTACATGATCATATTTCCTTACATGATTAGTCAAGCGGCAACAAGAACTTTGATATTTTTGCAAAATTTGATTCAAGGATTGAGCTTTATATTATTAATAGCAAAATAGTTATTAATACTTTGGATATCTATATTAATATTAGCCTAAACCATTTTACCATTCAAATGTTTATATTAAAAACAAGAGGGGCCCTGGGACCGAACCTATAGATACCCCTCAAAAAAACTTGCCGTAAATTTGATATACCTGTTCCCAGAACCACCTGTTGCTGTCTGTCTTTAAACTATCACGCTAGAAAATCCGTATGATGTCGGATTCCTGATCGAGATATACAAGACTGTTGCCAGGATGTTATCCAAATTGGAGACTACATCTCAACTATACTAAGTGACATATAAATCCGAACACCCAGTTTAAATGGTTTTATTTTAATAAAAGTTGGTGAATGTATTTATCTTACTGTGAATAACAAGTGAACAAATTTTCAGCCTTATCAGTTGGACATTCCGGTTTTTATACTGCTTTTTTTAAATTCACTAACGCTCTAAAAATGAATATTTCAGCCGCAGTAAAGAATCAACGTTGGCGGATTTTGGTTCTTGACATCCTTTACGATCGGTTACGATGCCTAGAGTACGGAGACCTGTACGATTTCGTCAACTTAGTGAGTTTGATAGGGGCCGTATAGTGGGACTTCGGGAAGCTGGACTTTCTTTTTGGGCAATTGCAGTTAGAGTGCAAAGAAGTGTAGACACTGTGGTTAGGTGTTGTCAGGCATGGCTTCGAGAAGGCCGTACGCAAAGAGCAAGGGGCACTGGACGCCGCCGTAGAAC